TTTTGTAGATTTCACTGAATTTTAGTTTGTCTGATGTTTCCCACGATTAGACTGAAATTATGGATTTGGGGGGAGACTATCACAGAGGTGATGAGCCCTTCTCATCTCATCTTATCTGGGAGTACATGATATCAACGGGATTTACTACTGATCCCTTGGTTAAGGTGCTGTCTGCCTGCTTCTTCAGTATAAAGTTACCGTGTTTCCCTTTTCATATTCTGCTCATTATAAGTGAGTTACTAAGTCCAGCCCACATTCGAGCAGAGAGGAATTAAGCTCCACTTCCTAGAGGCAGGAGTATCAAAGAGTTGATGGACATACAGTAAAAATACTACAGTGGTAGATAAATGGGGAAGACAGTTTGAAACTATGCAAACCTTCTGTTTCCCCTTAGAGTTTTGCCCACTAATTTTAGTATTCATTAGTGGGACTTGCCTGCCCAGTTATTTCTATGTTGTTCTAATGATGATTTTCTATTTCCTTCTCTGTTTAATTGGAACTCTTCTGTAAGGAACTCTTCTACACTTAATTGTCCATTCTCCCCCTTTTTTTTTTTTCCTTTTTGTCTTTTTCCGTGTCCGGCAACGGATCGCAACCCTCAGTGTCACCCCCGTACCGGACCGGGACCGGCAACGGGATCGAAACCCTCGGTGTTGCTCCCACGCCTCGCTCAGCCAGTGAGCGGGAACCGGTCTGTATGTGGGATCCGAACCCTCGGGCGGGAGCGCCGCCGCGCTTCCCAAGCGGCGCACCACAGCAGTGCGCCACCGGGCCGGCCCCATTCTCCCCCTTTTTAAAAAATCCATTTAGCCACTTCTATCAGTACAGACTTATGTATGTTTATTTTATTCTTTGGGTTATATAATCCAGTACTATTGGTATTTATTTTGTTGCTCAAATTCTTCCATCTTTGACCACGGGTAGCTCTTTTAAATTGGCTCCTGTTTGCTTTGAGATGCCCCATTATTCTGTTTAGGCATCTTCTCACTTTCTGGCACTACAAATTGCTTCAGGCTCATCTTGGATTTTCCTTGCTTTAGCCTTAGAACAGCTGTGTCTCCAAGGAGCTCTGGTTACTTTTATCAGAGAATGGTATTTAGAAACCAAGATGTGGGCTAGTTGTGCTTTTTGCTACTAGAGCGTCAATGCTTCTAGGTACACTCAGCAGAAAGATCTAGGAATTATATGTATATATGCTAACACATGTATACAAAAATATCTCTTATTTCTGTGTATATCTACCTGTATATATATATATTAAAATAAGCATGAGTTCATATTGATTTCTGACTCTGGTCCAGCTTCACAGGGGTCATTCTAGCCTTCCTGTCCTTCCTTCCTCCACACCTCCTTGCATATTTATAACTTCTTTTTCTGACATGAGAAACTTGGCTCTCCTTAACTATCTATCCCTATGACAAATCAATTTACCAAATAGAGTGCAGTATTTGTGTATAGTCCTTTTTGTCTTTAGCCTTGCAGTACCTAGAAAAAGCACTGTTTTCCAAAGTTAAAGTTATTTAAGTCAGCTCCTCTCTTCCCCATTCCCTTCAATGAGATTATATTTTACTTTGTAATATAGTTAGATTCATTTGTCCACAGCTTGTGTTCCATCCTGGCTTCCCCCAACATCCTGGCTTTTTAGAAGTTTGCATGTAGTAAACTCACTCTTTGTTGTGTACAGTTCTATGGGTTTTGACAAATGCATAGCGTCACGTATTCAACACCAGAGAATCATACAGAGCAATTCTATCACCCTAAAATTTCCCTCTGTGTTCCCTTTGTAGTCAGCCCATCCCTCCACCCCAATCCCTGCCAACCATTGATCTTATTTTCTATCCCTATAGTTTTGCCTCTTCTAAAATATCACATAAATGGAATCAAATGATATGTAGACTTTGGGTTTGGCTTCTTTCCCTTAGCAAATGCATTTAAGGTTAGTCTGGATTGGGCTGGCCGGTTAGCTCAGTTGGTTAGAGTACAGGTTGATAACACCGAAGTCAAGGGTTCAGATCCCCATACTGGCCAGCACCAAAAAAGAAAAAAAAGATTAATCCATGTTGTCACATAAATCAACAGACAAATTTTAAGGAGACTATACATCTGGGTTAATAATGGTGGTATAGGTGATTATATTTGAACAATTATGTCTTTAAGTTTAGTTAAATTATAGGTTCCAATTATGCAAATATGCATAGTTACATACTATAAGGTAACTAAACAGTATACAATAAATTGGTAATGATGAAGCAAAAGCATCAGTAGTTTACAAATAAAAGCAAGAACAGCAACCTTAAAAAACTATGATCAACACAAGATACAATGATGATATAGTAATAACAGTGTCATCTTGAAAACTACAGGCATTACAAATATCTGTTTGAGGCCACATGAAATAGGGCTCTTCAGTAATGCCAAACATTGAGTATGGGCCACTGTCCTGGAGTATGGAACTAAGAATGTTTAGAAAACTCTAATAATCTTCATAAATACCTATTTTTAATAATCCTTACTGTTTTAGTCCATTTCTGTTGCTTATAACAGAATACCCGAAACTGGGTGTTTCATAAAGAAATGAAATTTATTTCTTACTATTTTGGAGGTTGGGAAATCCAAAGTCCAGAGAACACATCTGGTGAGGGCTTTCTTCTTGGTGCAGAGTTCTGTGGAGATGCAGGACATCACATGGTGAGAATGGGCTGAGCAAGAGAGAATTAAACTTCTCACTTGCGCTCCTTACAAAGCAATCAGAACCATGCCTGTTACTCCGAGAATGGATCAATCCATTCACAGGGCACAGTCCTCACAATCTAATCACCTCTTAAAGGCCCTACCTTTTAAAATACCATAATAGGATTTCACCCTCTTAACACTGTTACAGTGGAGATCAAGTTTCCAATACATGAAACTTTGGGGGACACATTTGACCCGTAGCATTAATTAACTCAAGTAAGTTTCTGGTTAGCTGCTGTAAGCCTGAGGCAAAAATAAAGACTATTGCTTATTATTTGTTCATCAGAACTGAAGAAAGCACTTGTATTTTTAGATCAATTTATGGCCCATTAGACGACCCTCAAGGTCCACTGATGAACCTCAGACATACATTAAGAATCACTGAATTAGAGGAGGGATGGGTGAATTATATTTCTTGATTCCAACGTGACTCTTCTACTTGTAACCAGTAGCTTTATAACACTTTTGATTTCTGCATTAGGACATGGTGCTGAACAGTACTAGACTATCTTGGCCCACAGTGGGCATGCAGCTCTTTTTGTTAATAGTAAATGTGTGTATGACTACAGTGTCCCTCTTGGGGGCACCATCTGTAAACCTCAAGAAATTTGTGAAATAAACTCTTCTAGTCAGGGGCATTCCAAGGAGAATTCTAGGGTAAGGTGCTGATCAAACAAGGTGCTCAGTGTAGCAGCACTGATTACAAATGAGGGCCACCTGTAGTAATTTGGCTGTCAACTCTTAGAAACGTGGGTTGATAAAGACCTCAATTGCTATTCTCACTGGGAATGCCAGGCAACTATGTAGACTCTGTCCTTTGTCCATAAACTGTTCCTGGAGTATAATAAAACCAGTTCAAGTATAATTTGAGAAGAAGAGTATCTTGCCTATCTAAAATGCATTGCTACTGGCAGCTGTGGCCAAAGAAAAAGAAAAAAGGCAGCCAAGCCCACCAGGAGGGAAGGTGTTGAAAGGGATCTCCCTCAGTGTGGATTTATATATTTTTTCCTTCACCATGTCAAGTGGAAAAAAAAAAAATTTTTTTTTTTAAATAGGAAAAATAAAATGCATTGCTAGGGCCGGCCTGGTGGCGCACTGCGCTAGTGCGCCGCTTGGGAAGCGCGGCTGCACTCCCGCCGAGGGTTTGGATCCCACATACAGACCGGTTCCCGCTCACTGGCTGAGTGAGGCGTGGGAGCAACACCGAGGGTTGCGATCCGTTGCCGGACATGGAAAAAGACCAAAAAAAAAAAAATGCATTGCTAATGGGTAGTTTTGCATCAGGTTTAGAATGGTCTGTGGGCCGACCCTGTGGCGCACTCGGGAGAGTGCAGCGCTGGGAGTGCGGTAGCGCTGCCGCCGCTGGTTCGGATCCCATATAGGGATGGCCGGTGCACTGGCTGAGTGCAGTGCGGCCGGTCACAAAAAAGACAAAAAAAAAAAAAAAAAGAATGGTCTATGGTGTGAATTTTACAGTCTCGTAGCTATGACCAGTAACTTTAAATTTTTTTTAAACATCCATTCTACATATCCCTTTGGCTGTGTTCTAGCAGCAATTTCATGGACTACATTCTTGTTCAGATGCAGAATATGAATTCAAATAGCAGTGTTATAACTGACCTATGATTAAAACTAGAATTTGAAATAGCAATCACAGTTTAACCTAGGATATCAAGTAGCATGGTGCTCAGTGAATACAAATTATGTTTTACAGGTGCTGAAAATGTGGCAAAATATATTTTTTAAAAATATACAAATATAGGTACTAGTAAAACAGCTGGAACTTTAATGTCTGCTTTTTATGAGGCGAGATAAAATAAATTTATCTTTTAGTCAAATAAATTAGGTTACTATTTGAGTAGTAATTATTTTTCCTTAGTTGCAAATTAACTGAAACCCTTATAGGCAAGTTATTTATTAACCCTCCCAGGGATGTCATGGCTCCTAAAGTGAACATATTATCTGCTCTTATGGTTGGTCAGATTGCAAAAAGAAAGAAATGTACCCATCTGTGGCCATCTGATAGAAGGGCCTGGAAATATCTTTAAATGGTACTTTTAAAAAGATAGATTATGTGATGTTTCTCTTAAGAACTTGGTTTTGGTGAGGTCAGACTAGTAAGCCTATAAATGGTATTTCATTTTATTTTCCCATAGAAATTACTTTAAGGTGTTAACATTCAAGAGACCTAGGAAACTAAGTAAAACTTCTTTGATTCAGTTGTGTTTTCAGGTTAGTCCCATTAAAAAATTGTCCTTGCATTTCAGGTAATTTCTCGGCATACGCGGGAGCTACTGGGAATTGAAGAGCCATTATTCAGACGCACCATCATCCTTCCCTATAGGGACAATATTGGCTTATTTTTAGAGCAAAAAGGTCACACTGGAGTAAAATCTGATTCCTTGACCTTTCCTGAATTTGTCAAAGCAGCAGGATTACAAGATTATGCTCCACAAATAACTGCCCCTGAAGAGAATGAGACATTACCTTGCACTAACCCATAGGGGAAAGCTATTTTACTGAGCTTGAAAAATCAAACTAAATTACTTGGGGGAACAGATGTGGTCTTTTTTGGTTTTTCTTTTTCTCCTTTTCATTAAGGATTTGAGTTAGAACTGCTGGCTCCATTCCTAGTTCTGTGCCTGACTCACAACACCTTCTCTTAACTTGTGTTTCAATCTAGCACCTCGTTAAACAAAGATAGAAATACATCTTTCTGGATACTGCAAGAATTCCTGATAAATTCTAATAATGCAGCTGGTAGTAGGAACATGTTACGGAAATATAATTTAAAATAAAATCTGTCAACCCAGATAAGCTCCACAAATGCAGAAAAGAAACTATTTTATTATTGAATAAGCATTAAACTAGATGCATATCACAGGCAACCTGCTAAAGAGACTGAAAAGACAAAGAAATCTCACCCTTTTAGGTAGCCAGGCAGGTACAATCCATTACATACACGTTAATTATCTGCATCCAAAGGAAGAATAAAACTTCTCATATCGTGACAACAGACAGGAAGTTACTACTTGGAGCCAGGTGCCTAGGCTTAACTCACACAGAGCCAGGGAGACAGGGCACCATCCTTCCCAGTGCTCACATTTCAAATAGACGGCTCCAAACCCCCCAAAAAAGATTTTCCTGAGGGTGTAAAACTGGCAAGAGGCTTATTCAGCTTTGAAAGATTTATGTACATCTCAAAAACACAGAAAAAGGAATTACATGTTTTCTTTTGGCATCAGAGAAAATTTTTTTAAAAAAAATTTTTTTAGATTTGTGTATATCCTTACAAACAACATGACTTATAGAAGTACCACTGACCATGAAATAGGGTCTAAGTTTTGCTAACAAGACTCTTGTATGTGGTACCTTCCAGACCTTTATAAAATGAAATTCAGGCTAGAGTCTACTCATGACTGGACTTATCAAAAGAAATTATAAAATACTTCTTGTTGCTTAAATGAGTCCAGTGCTCCTCTAGTTTTATACATTTAACTGTTATTTCTCCCCCTGATCTCACTTCTTAATCCTAAAAACCACTATACGGCTCATAGAGTCCAAAAGGGCAATGATGTACTTTGTCCACTTCCCTACACCTGAATGAATAGTAAAAGGAATGGGTTTTTTCCTACTGAGAGAAGGAACTGGTGCCTTAAATTAACATTCATGCCAAGTGTTAATACTTGATGATGAACCTATTTTTTTCTCAAAATGAACTAATAAGATTTTTTTTTTTCCTTTTTGTCTTTTTTCGTGTCCGGCAACGGATCGTGGTCTGTATGTGGGATCCGAAACCTCGTCGGGAGCGCCGTCGTGCTCCCAAGCGGCGCACTGTAGCAGTGCGCCACCGGGCCGGCCCCTGAACTAATAAGATTTTACTGGAAACCATTCTGACACCAAACCATTGAATTTGCTTAGCTCATGGTTATACCAAAAAAAAAAAAAAAAAGTAAATGATTAATCTAAAACCATGGTGATTTACGTGTATAGTGGTACACGAATGGTTTTGCTCAAAAGCACTTTAGCACTTAGCAAACAATGGTTCTGTTCAGTGACAGAGCATAGTAAGTAATATCCTTTCCCAGCTTGAAAGGGTCACCACTGTTGTTTTCAATTATGTTATAATTGACAAGAAGTATTTGCAAAACATAAAGGAAATAAATTTGCACCATAGAAATAAAATCTGTATTTTGCAAAATTTTTAGCCATTTATCATAAATGCCAGTAATTTTTAAAAATGGTTTTAAATGGCTTAAAAGGGAATGGCTTTAAGTAGATAGTATAGTCATATAGTATCATGTAGCTGAAATAAGCATGAAATGAGTTATAATTTAATTAAGATTTTTTACTGTACATTTACTTCTCTATCCAAAATGCTAGGAAAATCAAGCTGTACCATTTGCCAGCTTCATACCGGTACAGAAAAAGTTGCAGTATGTAAATGTCTAATAATGACATTATAACTACTTGAATTTAGCTTTTACTTTTTTTCATTTTTATTTTTTGAGTTTAGCTTTTAGAAGAGAAATAATTTGTGCTAACAAGGCTTTTCAGGAGAAGCAGCTTACTTAAGTATGTTAGGTTGTGTAGTTTCATTTGGTTGCTTCTGAAAGGCAGACACATCCAAGTATAATGATGTATAGGATCTCTTATTTTATTCTACATGTTAAAGAGCTATCAGTTCAATTTTCTAATTCCTAGTGCTTAACGTGTGGCAAACACAATGCAGTCACATGATATCCACTGTCAATTGTAGTAATCAGGGCACAACCACTGTAGAGCAAATCTGTGAGGGAAAAAAATCCTGATTCCTGAGGTTTCTTACTGGGATGGAGAGCCCATGGAAACCACTGGCTGTTCTTTGGTTAGGGAGATGCCAAATGAATTACAGTACAGATGAGTAAGGTGGTCTTGGAGAACAGTACTGGCTGAGAGATGCTGGCTAAAGGGAGTTTCCTTGACTTGCGTAGCAATCAGATCAAACCAGGGGAGAGGCCTGGGGTGAAAAAATAAATACTGTTACTTTTTTATGTCTATTCAATACATCAGATTTAGCTATTAAACACTTCCTTTAAAGAAAGTTTTTCTCCACTTGGAATACCAAACTAACTGAAATTCATAGTTAAACTAGACATTCAGCAGGAACTATTCAATATGTAAATTTTATTGTACTTATGGTGATTTTTCCACATGTATGCACATTTCTGTAAGTGTGTTTGGAGAAGAATTCATAATTAGAGAATGATTATAATATTGACATTGACATCCTTTTCAATACATTTTCTTTGAATTTAGAAAGAACATACATAAGAAGATCACAGACATGAGGCAAAGAAAAAATAACCGCTTTTAAGATATCTGCTTTAGCTGTATAGGGAAAGTAGAAGTTAACATAATAAAAGTGGGCAATGTTAAGTATTAGTCTATAGTATAACTCAAGTTAAAAAGCAGTAAGACATAGGGTTTTTTTTTGGGGGGGGGTATGGAGGTCTGAACCCATGACCTTGGTGTTATAGGGCTGTGATCTAACCAACTGAGGTAACTGGTCAGCCCTAGACGTAGGGTTTTTATAATGAATGAGTAAGGCAAGGATATCTCCTCTTACCATTTTTATTCATTATAGTACTGGAAGTTCTAGTCTGATAAAGCAAGAATAGGAAATAAAAGGCATACAGATTAGAAAGGAAGAAATGGGGCCTTCCAGTCCACATGGCAGAATAGACAGTCCCCAGCATCACTTTCTCCCACAAATCAACCAATTTATAACTAAAAAAGCAACAGCCAAGCCGGGGCCACTACAGCTCAGGGGAAGAGGAGGAGAGACCTATGGAGTACATGAAGATGGGAGAAACTACGATGAGAGAAAGAAAAAAACCCTCTGACCATTTCATGCCATGGCCACTTTAAGGCTAGGGCTGCTGAGCGCATGGAGCAGGAGCTGGCAAAAGCTGCAGCTGTGCCCTTCGGATGAAGTTGCATGGCGGCAGCAGGGGAGAAGAGGGTCTTGGTGGCCCCCAGGCCTGTGGACCCACATAGGAGTGAGGACCCAGAACATTGGATAAAAGGAGCCACTCAGAGGCTGGTGAGTCATTGCATGGGACCAGCACATGGCCTGTCCCATGGGAATTTTTTGCAGCCCGGGCAGTGGGGGAGATGGGCCCATTGGTGGAACACTGGGGCACAGCAAGAACATCTGACTGGCACCCCAATCAGCGAAAGACCACTCAGAGGAGACTGGTCAGGAATACAGAATTGCATGGGGTGCAGTTCGATGAAAAGACTCAGACCCAGATCAGAGTTTCTACATAATCCAGGTGCACCAGGTCTCTGGAGAGGTGGAAGTACCTATGAGGTCAACCATTAAAACCTGAGCTGCACAAAAAGCCTTCCCTAGGGAAGCAGAAGCAAAGAAGCAAATTAGCTCAACCACACAGCTCAAGTACTGGTCCCCACAGGAAGTTCCCCTATTTTAGAAGTAAGCAAAGGACAAAAAATTAGTTCCGGCCCAGGCACACTGCCAGTGCCTTGGGCCTGCCCAGGGACCTGAGGTATGGAGCCAGGGATTGAACCCCTGTACCACAACCAGGCACACTACCAGCACCAAGGAGAATGCCAAAGACATCACCTCCATGTGGGTGACCCACCACAGCCACCGCAGTAACCATGGCTGCCATAAAAGCAGCTAGATTCCACAACCACCACGCAGATGGTCCACCAGTCACTGGAGTGCATAGGCACAAGGAGAGTCACCAGCAGAGACAAAGGAAAGAAGAGGATGTCTCTCCACAAAGCCAATTCCAGAGTGACAGAAGAAGCATTTGCTCTACAATAATATTGGGGGACTTGAACACACCTCTCAGCATTGGACGGATCATCTAGGCAAAAAAATCAACAGAGTAACCATTACTCTTTGAAAAGGAGTAAAGAAATCTAGAGTAAGTAGAGGGGGGAGGAGGGAGAGAGAAGGGGATGGGAAGAGATTGGACAAGGGGCATAAAGAATAAGTATGATTTGTAACAATATATATGCTAGTAATAGTGATTTGATCAACATATGTCAATGCTGAACCCCCAAAATATGAATAATCAATTATGATTCAACTTTTAAAAAAAGAAAGGAAGAAATGGCATTGTTCCTATTTATAGATGACATGATTATCTATAAAATCCCAAGAAATCTTTAAAAAACCAAAAAATTAGAACTAATGAGTTCAGCAAGGTTGCAAGATATGAAATAAACATGCAAAAATCAATTATATTTATATATATACTAGCAATGAACACATGGACACCAAAATTTAAAATATAATTTCATTTATAATCATTCCACAAAAATGGAATACTTAGGTATAAATCTAGCAAAACATGCACAGGACTTGCTGATTAAATAAATCAAAGAAGATCTAAATAAGTGGAGAGACATATTGTATTCACAGATGGGAAGACTCAATAAAGATGTCTATTCTCCTCAAATTGATGTATAGATATAATGGTAAAATAAAAATTAGTGACAACACCTAGTAAGGATGCAGAAAAACTGGATCACATATTGCTAGTGAAAATGTAAAATGTTACAACTGCTCTGAAAAACAGTAAATATGCACCTATCATATGACTCAGTAATTGCACTCCTGCACATTTATCCCAGAGCAACAAAAATTTATGTTCACACAAAAACCTGTAAAATGAATGTTCACAGCAACTTTATTCATAGTAGCCCTAAACTGGAAACAACACAAACACAGATGGCCTTCAACAAGTGAGTGGTTAAACAAACTGTAATACAACCATGCTATGGAATACTACTCAGCAATAACAACAAATAAACTATTCATACAACATAGTAACTTGGATGAATCTCCAGAGATTTATGCTGAATTTAAAAAGTCAATCCAAAAGGTTGCATGCTATTTTATTTCATTTATATACCTTTTTTTTTTTTTAAAGATGACAGGTAAGGGGATCTTAACCTTTGACTTGGTGTTGTCAGCACCACACTCTCCCAAGTGAGCCACAAGCTGTCCCTATATACCATTTTTTAAAGGACAAAATTATAGAAATGGAGAACAGATTACTAGTTGCCAGGTTGGAGTGGGCAACATGAAGAATCCTTCGGTGAAAGAACTGTTCTGTATCTTAACTATATGTCAATATCCTGGTTGTGATATTGTACTATCAATGTCAATATCCTGGTTGTGATACTGTACTATAGTTTTGCAATATCTGTATATAGATGTTGTACTATAGTTTATACCATTGGGGGAAACTGGGCAAATGGGTACATGGGATTTTTTTGTATTATTTCTTAGCAACTGCATGTGAACCTACATTTATTTCAAAATAAAAAAATTATCTCGACTTCCAGTTTCTTGTCTGGCATGTAAGAAACTGGAAGTTGCCACTTTACCCTAACAATAAGTAAAAAGCTGAACAAACTAAAAAGTCAACAACTCTTCTTAGCTCCATCAGGGAGGTGATGGATCTTGGATGTGAGCAGCGCCATCTTGGACAGGACCAGCACCATTTTACACACACTGAGCACAAAATGGTCGTCAGCCTTTCCCTTAGAGAAACCTTGTGGTTTCTGAGAAATGGAAACTCCTCTACTTCCTCATGGGTGCAACCCTCCACCTGATTGCATCTGCCAGCCTTATCTTCCACTCTAGCACCAAACCCCTCCCTGATTACATCAGCCTTTCTTACAGTCTATATAAGCTCTCCGACCCTGAGGCCAGCACTCTCCATTTTGAGTGCAGCCTGGCAGATTCTTTTCCTTTAATAAAGCTTGATCAGTGCCTGGTGTTTCAGCTCACTTTCTTTCAGGAGGTGGGGTCACAGGGCAAACCACTGCCCCCCAAACTGGAGAGACCAAAAGGTGAATGCTCAGAATCACAGCTTGCTGGAGCAGAAACCCACAAGCACAGATGTCTAAGAGAACCAGTGCTGAGATTGGGAAACCTCAACTATAACTGACAAATTGCTGGAGGCTCAGTGTGAACAAGTCTAAAAATAAAAACTCCAACGGGCCCAAGTCACTGGGGGACCCCCCACACTTTTGTGATTTTTTTCCTCTAGGAGCTTGACCAGATTCTCACAGTGAATACAGGAGAAAAATCCTCTTGTGCTTATAGCAGAGGGAGAGGAAGAAGAACCATTTTGAAATATGCCACAGCATGCAGTTCTTAACAAGGTCTGCCCTCAGGAGAAACTACTTAACTAGAGCCTTATCTGTTGGAGTTATCAGAGCCCAACATCTGGGGGAAGGGAAATATGCAGCTTCAGTTTACCTTCCATATGGAAGAAGGGAATACCCCACTCCATCTCACTTTAGCCATCCTGTTCCACCAAAAGAAGAGAAATAAAACCCTAGGAACACTTGTGAAGTTCTCAGTCTGGGGCCACTAAAAGATTGAGCACTAATCATAGGACTATAGAATGCTTCCCCTCCCCCAACACCTCACATTACTAAAGGCTTATTTACAGCTGTTTCCTTTTACCTAGTACATCATGTCCAGCTGTCAAGAAAAAATTAAAAGGCATACTAAAAGGCAAAAAACATAATTTGAAAAAACAGAGCAAGCATCAGAACCAGACACAGGGATGTTGGAATTATCAGATTAGGAATTTAAAATAATTATGACTTAATATGCAAAGGGCTCAAAAGGATAAACTAGAGAGCGTGCAAGAACAGATGGTCAATATAAACAGAGAGATGGAAATTATAAGAACAAAAATATAATGATGATTGGGCCGGCCCGGTGGTGCACTGGATAGTGCGCCGCTTGGGAAGCGCGGCGGCGCTCCCACCCGAGGGTTCGGATCCCACATACAGACCGGTTCACTGGCTGAGCGAGGCGCGGGAGCAACGCCAAGGGTTGCAATCCCGTTGCCGGTCCCCGGTCCGGTACGGGGGCAACACTGAGGGTTGCGATCCGTTGCCGGACATGGAAAAAGACAAAAGACAAAAAAAAAATATATATATATATATAATGATGAT